CGCACTTGAATGGGTTAAATGCAGAGCACTAATTCCAAGTATGGGTCACCATACTTTGCCACACGTCACGTCACTTTTATTTTTTATTTTTTTAATATATTATTAATACATGCGGTTCACATGGTTATTTCATGTATGTTATATTTGCAGCAGCAATATTTCTTACATGCTCGCATCAGCATGTTGTGGATGTATTGGCAGTAGCAAGTCTCGGTACTTGCTCTGCCGCAGCAGCAGCGTAGTAGATCTATTCCGCCAAGACCAAATACATTAACATTGTCATGTACATTACCATGCCAATCACTTCGAGAGTTGTCATGACAGAAATGCAGTTATTTTTAACGTTCTAGTCATCAATAGCTGCAGTACAACTGTTTTCAGCATTGATAAAAAGAAATATTTCTTGAGCAGCAAATCAGCATATTAGAATGATTTCTGAAGGATCATGTGACACTGAAGACTGGAGTAATGATGCTGAAAATTCAGCTTTGATCACAGGAATAAATTACATTTTACAATGTATTCAAATAGAAAACAGTTATTTTAATTTTTTATAATATTTTTAAAGTAATCTTTTTAATAATATTATTGTTTTTTACTGTATTTTTGATCAAATAAGTGCAGCCTTAGTGAGAATAAGATACTTGACGACCTCAAACCTCTGAATGGTAGTATAATTGGTCTGTTCAATGAGTGTTTGGGGCTGAAATAAAATAAGATAAAATGAACCCTAATTAAAATGTTTGAGAGATATCACTACAGTTCTGCCTGGCAAACTCCATAATTCATTAAAATGACATGCAGGTTCGGAAATACGGCAGTTTTGAGAGACTCTCACAGCAGATGAAACAGACTGAGAGATGGAACATGATGGAGACTGTGAGAATGTGAGGAAACTTGTTACTGAACAGGTTTTAGACTGTCACGTTGTCAGCTGTCATCATTTGAGAAAGCAAAACATGTTCTAATGAAGGTTTATGGGGCCTCAAAACCTTTCCTAGGTCATATTTAGCTTGACCTCTGTCACGGAGCGACTGCCTGTCCTCATGTCTCCTCTCCTCAATCCTCGGCCTACAGCTGGGATAATGATCTTCATGCTTTGTCTTCAGGTTTAGGTCATAGAGCAGTATGTTTAACTGTATTTCTTGTGGTTGTGGTTCTCTAGGCCCGGTCCAGGAGGAAAGTACTGCCAGAAGACCAGCGTGGAGCACAAAGTGTGTGAAGGGCCGCCGTGTACGAAGGGTCTGCCCACGTTTAGAGACCAGCAGTGTCAGTCTCATGACCGGCAGGCCAGTAAGAAGAAAAGCCAGATGTGGACAGCTGTGATCGACGATGGTGAGACTAAAAATACACCTCTGTTTGCTGAATGAAAGCCAGTATTTGTTTCATACTAATTTTGTTGTGATGATTTCAGAAATAGTGCCTGTTTTGCTTGAGCATGTTACACTTTCACACAAAATATGATGCATTTTGAAGCTTTTTTGCTTTTGACAACCATTTGAAAAATGAAGAAGTCTTGTATTTTAACTTAATCAGCAGAAAAACTGCCACAAAGACATGATTGCTGTCTTCCTCTGTGCCAGATTACAGCTATGTGATTTTCACATGTATGAATGATTTAAGGTCCTTGTACACTGAGTCCGAAATTTTCATATGCATTTTTTAGTATTCGTCATCCTAAAAATTAATCAAGCACAGAAACCTTGCACAGTAAGTCCGATGTGTATTAATTAATCCGTTGTGAAAAACAGTACTAAATGGAGTCTTCAAGCAGTAAGGACGATTTTGTTGTCCTCTCGCTTCTTAAAAAGAGAAAAAGAAAGGAAATATTCAGAGTTTACTTCAGGATGTCAGTGGCTCAGTTTGATGCTTTGCTAGCGATACTAGAGCCACATATTAAAAAGAAGACCACCAATTTCTGTGAACTCTGTGTGCAAGGATCTTTACGGTGCTTTGTGCAGCGAGAAGTGGATGAACTTGACAATCGCCATTCTGGATTTTGGCGTTCGCTTGTACGGTGGCTCTGAATTGTCAAAACACCTGTCAAAATGCTTGCTACGGATGTGAAAAACGCAGAAAATCGAACCCGGTCCGAAATTTTTTTATGACGGACGAAAGTTTCGGAGGCAGTGTGTAAACGTGATTGACACAAAGTGAGGATGTATTTATTTTTCAACGTGCAAAAATTGCGGATGAAAATTTCTAACTCGGTGTGCAATAGCCTTTAGAAGACATTATTTTGTATTTAATCTTGATTTCAAGGCCAATCACTGCAGAAAATGCAAACATGACCCAGATGTTTTCTGCTACTTCTGGGGGTGTTTTGCAACATCCAAACAGCAACAGAAAATTACAGATTGTGTGGAAAAAAATAAATATGAATACTACATATTAAATACTTTGTCATTAAAAACAAATGTTTTCACATTTGACTGCTTTTGTTATTTTGATGAGTGCATTAAAGCTGTTCAGTTCAGTGTCAAGAGAGTCTGAGCTGGATTGAAAACAGCACTCGTCTGATTTCACACTTGTGAGCTCTTGTCAAGGACATGTTCACTTGATTACTGGGCAGCTTATGAGCGAGAGGGTGAATGTTATGCCTTGTTAGAGTCCAAATTCATCTCTGAAATTCTTTGACCCAGTTGTCGTCTTGTTCCGCTGCTCTTTCTGTCACTCATAATCATCTTAAGCGTCCTGTCATCTCAGCAGCTTGTTTATTTTTTCCTGTTTCAGAAATGACACCAAATAGCCTAAACTCCGTTCAACGCAATGTACAGTAAATGCTGACATGTGAATCATATTTGTTTTGGTGTGTGTGAACTATAATAAATCTATCTATCTATCTATCTAATCTATCTATCACCATCTCAAGTGGGCTACCATCAACTGTGATAGGTGCATTTACAGTTGAGTCTTGGTGGTACTGATGTTAAGACCTGTCTGTTTAGCAATGTTACGCAGCCTAGTTGTTTTCTCCTGCAGGTGGTCTTGCTTGGAGGATAATATAGCAAGGTCGTCTGCAAAGTCTAGATCTTCTAATTGGGAGAACAGAGTCCTCTGGATCCCTCTAGGCTTGTCTGCTTTGGTTCTGCGCATGATCCAGTCAACGGCAACAAGAAATAGGATGGGGGATAAGATACAACCCTGTCTTACACCAGACTCCACTGGGAACCACTCCGAGGGTTTCCCATCAAGTATAACACAGCATTCAAAGGTCGATAGAACAACCCTATCAAGGTCACCATCTTTGGAGGAACTCTGTAGGACCTTAGGATCTTCCATAGGGTGTCACGATGTAAATTGTCGAATGCCTTTTTAAAGTCGATGAAGTTAATATAAAGGGGGTGTTCCATTCAAGACATTGCTCAATAATGTTTCTTAAAGCAAATATCTGATCTATGCATCCAATCCCTTTCCTGAATCCTGCTTGCTCCTGCCTTAGCTTGATGTCAATAGTGGAGTCAATTCTGCGCAGGAGAACTTGACAGAAGACCTTTGATGGTATAGACAACAGTATTATGCCTCGCCAGTTGTCACAGACCTGGAGGTTACCTTTCTTAGGGAGCTTCACAATTAATCCTTTGGACCAGTCCACAGGGATAGTGCCTTTGTCCCATATGTTGCGGAAGAGGTTTGTTAAAACTTTTGTTGAAGTTCTCAGGTCGGCCTTAAGCATTTCTGCATGGATGTTGTCAATTCCACAGGCTTTCCTACTTTTTGAGGCTTTGATGGCATGCCTTACTTCATCTTCCGTTGGTGGACTGATGTCAATGTCCAGGACAACTTCTGCTGGTGGTGGATTTGCAGGATCATCAGGTTCTGGTCTATTGAGTGCTTCGTAGAAATGTTGTTCCCAACGAGCAGCTTGCTCATGTTCTGTTTTAAGATTGTTTCCATCCTTATCCTTGACAGGGACTGACTGACTAGTCTTTTTGCCACATAACTGCTTGGTGATCTTAAACACAGGGCTGAGGTCCCCTCTAGCAGCAGCAGTTTCTGCCTCCTTCGCTAGTCCTTCAACAAAGGATCTTTTGTCCCTTCTGGCGCTTTTCTTTACCTCTCGGTCTTTGGCTTTATATGCCTGCTTTGCCTGTTGTTGCAATCTTTGTGATTTGGTGCTTAGCATTTTGGCTTTCAGATGTTTTCTTTCTTCTATTTTCTCCCATGTTCCAGATGTTAACCATTCCTTGTTTTTCTTTTTTCTGTAGCCTAATATAGTTGTGGCTGTTTCTATATAGGTGTTCTTTATTGTTCCCCAAACGGTGTTAATATCAGGGTCATTTGTAGAATCAGCTAAGGCAGCAAAGCGGTTTCTCAGTTCTACTACAAACTGTTTGTTGGTCTTGGGACACTTTAGTTTGGCAATGTCTAGATGTCTTCTTTGCTGACTCTTTTGCTTTACATTGCATAGTTTTAGCTTAATGCTCGCTATAACTAGGTGGTGGTTGCTATTCACATCTACTCCACGACAAACTTATGTAACATCTTGTAATGACTTGCGCCATTTGCCATTAATAGCAATGTGGTCAATTTGGTTGATAGTTTGACCATCAGGTGAGCTCCATGTGAGTTTGTGGATGTTCTTGTGTGGAAAGATGGTGCCTCCTATCACGCAGCCATTATCCAAGCAAAATTCTGCAAAACGCCTGCCATTATCATTCATCACCCCGCAGCCATGTTTCCCCATAGCTCTCTCATAGTTGGTGTTTGCCCCAACCTTAGCATTTATGTCTCCCATGATCAGCAACATGTCATGTTGAGGGACTTGGGAGACCGCTGTTTGTAGTTCTTCATACCAGGTGTCTTTTTTCCTCATCCTCAGCTTCGTTTGTTGGTGCATAGCACTGTAGGATGGTGAGTTTACAGTGTTTTGAGTTGAAGCAAACTTTGATCAGTCAGGCGCTAATTGGGATATAGATATATGTCTTTCTCTCTGTCTACTTATTTATCTACATATTGATTGTCATATTGAAACACTTGCATAATATATATATATA